TTTTGATGTCGCTCCAGGTTGTGAGAGAATCTGGTGGTAGTTGTCTCAGCCACTGCAAAGCTTCTCCAGATAGAGAGTATTTGAAAATCTTGCAGAGAAGATAGTCTTGAGGGACTCCATTGGCTTTTATGACGGTTATGAGATCCTCGAACCTCTCCAGATGGTCCATAAGATGCTCATGGGACAACCCACAGAAGGGTATTTTTCCTACAAGTGTGTAGTATTGCGGCTTGAGCTCGAAATCTCATCTCTGAATAGCAGGAAGGCGGATGGCTGATCGGTTGGTATAGAATTGATCCGGACGGGTTTAGTCAGCCAAAGTTCTAGCTCTGTTAGCCTCTTTTACAGGTTGATGAGGTCTGAAGGTGAAGTTTTTTGCTCAGGAATGATCTTCTTCTGAGCATTCAGCTTCTGACCTGCTGCATTACGCAGGTGACCATCTTGATCACGCAGGTCTCCATTCTCATCAGTAGTGAGAATAATAGCCGCTACCATGTCTCGCCGGTTAGTATCGATCGATTTAAGATGAGGTATATCGATCGATGTCGGATGAAAGATTTCGGTCGACGAACTGTTGTTGATGTCGATCCATGGAAGGGTGCGAGTATCGGTCGACGAAGAAGGTGTCTCGGTCGACTGTGGTAAGCGAGTATTGGTCGACGAACTGTTGTTGCTGTCGATCGATGCGGAACAGTCTCTGCGGATGCTACGTTCCAAACTGTGGGGATCTTCTGAGTACACAAGTTGGTTGTTCTTGTTGCTTCTAGTACTGTTGGGCATGTACCTGAAAAAGACAAGAAAAAAAAAATTTGTGTCAGAAGATGATTAAGCAGTAACAAGTAACCTAGACCTAATCAGATTAAATCTAATGGCGATCTTGATTCCCCGGCAACGGCGCCAAATTTGATATCACTCAAATTACCCTAAGTAGTGAATTACTCCTCAAATAAGAGGTTCAGTTGTAGTACTTAGGGATCGAATCCACAGGGAACTACGGAACACAAAAGATATAATCCTAAGTGATTATGCTAGGTTGATTAAGGTTTAAAAGTAAAATGCAGTTGCGAGCAATGGTGAGTTGCTCAAGAGAATTGGTTTAGGTTTTAAACAATAAAAGAACGTAGTTAGATTCAAGGTTGCTATTAAGATAATCAGGATTATAATGCTACAGATGTCTTTATAAGTTGCTTGCAAGATATTAAAGAACTTCAACTCTTAGATAAGCCTATTATCAGTCGCTATTAGACTCGTCCATTGATCTGACTGCCGGCAATATCGACCGATGGTTTGACAGCTATATCAGACGATATGGGTTGCCGTCAATCGATTACTCTATAGGAGTATCGATCGATATAGCTTCAGATCGAGTTGAATATGTGTTCACCAAGATCATAGACCGGCTCTCGTTCATCCCTAGAGGATCTCAACTTATACCAGATGATTTCAGGATGATGATTAACAAGTTAAATCATTCCATGATCATACTCTAGTTAGCTACTCTAGAGTAAGCATTAGGGTTCATCAGGATAATGAATATCACAACTCAACATTCCATAGTTGGGGCTAATCCCTCATAACTATTTGTACCCTAAATCTAACAAGTGAATCTACGCAGACATGGCTAAGTAATTCATAGCAACAAGGTAATAATAGAAATTCATTAGATTAGAAGATTGAACTCTTGGTTCTTTTGAACAACAAATCTCTTTGTGTGTTATTCTAAATCTAGAATTCTATAACCTTTTATGAAAATGAGAATAAGATGAAAAGAATACTTTTATAAATCAAAGAACTAAGAACATAAAAAACATGCAAAGCTTTAAGAAGTACAAAAAGCATGCAAAGGTGTAAAAGGCATGTCTAGCCAAAACACTTAGGCATAACTATAAATATGAGTTCCATTAGGTTAAAAACTCGTCAGGGGAAATCTTGTAATATTGAGAGAACTTGGGCTTCAAGGCCGAGTCAAACTTGTTCTTCACGCTTCATATCGATCGATGGTACCTGGTGTACATCGATCGATGGAGTATCTCTATTCGTCATCTTTTACAGAAGCGTCGTCGATCGATTACACATGATGTGTATCGATCGATATGTATCTCTGGATATCGACCTTGTTGTCTGATCTTTATAGTCATCTCTGGAAAACTCTCATTTAAGCTCTATAAGGGCACCTAAATCATCACTTTACTCCAAAATGCTTCTGAACCTGAAAACATACCTAATAGACTCCAAAACATATATATATATATATATATATATATATATATATATATATTATAAAATCATATAAATACCATGGTTAAAAGTGGGTCAAAACCATGGTATATCAAATAGTCTGTTCATTATAAAACATAAACTCAGATCCAAAAGAAGGAAGATCACAGTTTTTCTCACAAGAAAACAAACTTTCAATTGGCTCTTCATCCGATTCATCAAATATGGGTAAAGAATCTGAAAAATCTTTAAACTCCTCAACATGGGTTTCAGATTTACCTTTGGATTTCTTGCTGATGAATAAGGATGGCTCAGCTACAGGTGCACGTGTGGATGTGCTCTTCTTATGGATCTTGCTGACATCCTCGAGGGCTTTTATCATTCCCTTCTCAAAATTATCACAAAACTCTTGAACATCAAAACTGAAGTAATCACCTTTTTGATCAATTTCACCTTTGGACGACTTGAAAGGTTTATTGCACCTCCTGTTTGGCCTTTCCTGCACACTAAAAAACTCATCAAAATCATTCAAAGAATTTTTCGATGAAGAATGAGAGATAGTTTGTCGTGATGATTTCTCCTTGCTATTTTTCCTTAGAAATCCAAACATCTTAACCTGAAAATCTCAACACAAAAGTTAGTAGATAAAATATTCACACTCTCAAGTGTTTGATCTCACCTAGTCAAGTGTTTCACTCATAATTTATGGTCACACAAGATTTTCTTCTCAATGTTCTAAGAGAACATATCAAAGAATCCTAATGGTTTTTCCAAGCAAACAAGGGATGAAACACAAGATAAAAAGATAAGAGAATTGGTTTTCAAATCCGTATTAACCACTCCAAGGCTGGATTTCTCCTCAGTAACAAGATTTCTCTTCCACCACCTAGCCAAATAAATCAAACTTTGTTTCTTATTTTCTTTCTCTTTTTTTTTTTCTTTTTTTCTTTTATAGAAGAATGGCGATAGGTAAGGTAGTGGCCCGGATTTGAGATAGAAAGAAGAAGTGTTTAGAGAATGAAAGATGAGAAGATAGATAGATAGTACCAGTTGAGTGGATCTGATACCACTTGGTACGTCCTAGATTCCGACAGGATCACTCAAACAGACTGAAGGGATATGAACTCGCCAAAAGGGAGAACTGGTGAATTGAACGGTGACACAAAGGGTTGCGGATGGCCCAATGATACTACCAGACTTCGATCGTTTCCGTTTGTGACGCACCGGTCCAACAAAAGAAGGATCGAAACTTGGAGATAACCTCACCAATAAACTAAGAAATGTTCTACAAAGAACAAGGAGAGATAAACTCATAAAAAATAGAAAACAATCTGATTTATTTCTTCGCTCTTAGGCCTTATTTATAGGATTACAAGTTGTAGAAATCCAAAGAAGAATGTGCTAAAAACATGACAATGAAAATAAGAACAAAGACTTGACTAAATAAAGTATTTGACTGAAACTCTGATTGCCTCTTGATATAGCCACGACCAGGATTTATTTGTTGGCTCTCTCTTGGTATTCTTGATGAGAATGGGCTTGAAATGGAATGAGGAAAGGACTGGTCGAATTTGAAGTAAAACAAACCCGTAATGAAAATTTTATGAACTTTTTTTTGGGCTAAAAATTCTCATTTTGCCCAGCAGCTGAACAAGCTCCATCTTTAGTGTCACTTACCTAATTCAGCTCCAATCTAGTGTCACTAAGCTCACTTAGCTCATCCAGATTCACACTAGTGTCACTTAGCTCACTCATCTCATCTAGCTCGCCTAAGTAAGTGTCACTTAGTCCAGCTTGTCTAAAGTTGATTCTGGCTTGAATATCATTCTTAGAATGTTGAATTGGTTGGAAAAGAAGTGATATGGGTCGATCAATTCCATCTCTAGGTAGTGGTTCCAGCACTTGCAGTACGGTCGAGATGATTGGATTGGATGGTACGGACGGTCAGATCAGCACGATCCGATGGGAGAATATAATTAGTATGGACGGAATGAACTGATAGGAGGACACAATCAGTATGTACAACACAATCTGATGGTAAAATCTCGGTTGGGTTGAGCTGGTTGACAAGATCGACTCCTTGGACCAGTTTATGATCTGAGCAGGTCGGTGCTTGAACCGAAATGCATTAACTTAACTATTACATTTCCTGTTTTTATTTAATGTGTGCCAAGATAAACATTTTTAAAAATCTTTGTTTTGTGGAAGACAATCTGCTCATTTTATTTAATGATATTTATAATTTAGCCAAAAAAAAAAATAAGGCAATAAAATAATTTCTTGAAAGTGCTTTCAAATTTTTTTAAAAAACTTTTAATACTGCCGGCGAATGTTCGGGTTTTACTGTGTAAGAATTGACTGAGAGAGGATGTGGACTACATAACTAATATAAACGTCCTACTAGATTATATCATTCTGGAACAACAAGTATCACCGGAGATCTGATATTCCACCAATTGTTTGAAGATTTTTCACTATTTTGTTTATAATTTTTAGTGCTGGGGTGTGAAACTAATTTAATGACATTTTTCTAAAACCAAAAAAAAAGCGACAACCAAATCTTTGTGTCTTTGTAAATTTCTAGCTCGAAAACTTTTGATTTAAAAAGTTTGATTGATTAGTATTAAACGTTTTGTTTTATAGATTTTTTAGCAACTTCACCTATTGTTTTGTTTTATAGATAAGCAATGGAATGGCCACATTGTTGACTGGCTCTCAGCTAGTGGTTTATCTATCTACTGCAATTTGGAAACATGCAAGTGGAAAACAGCTTGATGTGCTCTAAAGTTCCAAATTTTTACTCTTCTTTAAAAATGTTATCCAACTAAATAACTTTTGAATTCAATTCAAAAGGTTGATAATATCTAATCTTCCAAGGGTGGAAATATTCCATTTTGTTTAATTGGACGGAAAAAAAGCTCATTAAATTGTCAAGTACAAAAATTGATCACAAAAGGATTCATTATATTGCTCCCAAGCCTCTAATAAAAGATCCATGTAGGATCTGTTTGTTTCTTAGTAAGGCTTAAACTTACGGGCAGCTCGAATTTGTTGTATCCTCTTCTTGTCTTCTTCGAACTTACTCTGAAGCGCCAAGAGTTCTATCAACCAACAATTTAACACAGCCCAAGAAACAATCATCCGAATCAGAACATGTACAAACAAAAAATAAAACTAAAAGTTTTTGAATGTAGAAAAGCAAAACACTTACCACTTCGTTGTGCATCTCGCCTCTGGAAACGGTAGAAACCATGACCGACAATCTCAGTGTTTTTCTTCTTAGAAACCTTATCTTCCAAAGCAGCCTGAGAAACAGATCCAACGGCTGTTCCAGATTCAGCCTCTGTTGTCTTCTTCCTTCCTTTGTGATGCACAACGACAGTCCATCCACCTTCTGCAGCTTTAGCTTCTCGCTCTTGTTTCTCCTATATGACAGCAACGGACAAAACAAGCTGTAGTCACAAGACTACAGACGTTAATGCTTATAAAATGTAGGAGAGACAAAAGAACCTGTTCAAGGCGTTCTTCATGAGCAGTAATGAAGTCATCAATTCTCTTTTGCAGCTCATCCAAACCGGGTCTACTCTCATAGTACCCTGCAACCCACTCTGCAGTTTCACAGAGGATTTGTCAACTTATGGCAGAAACAGATACAAGAATCTTCAAAAACTGTGAAGACAGATTAATATCTAATCACATGATACTAATAATGGAAGAAACGGCTTACTTTTCATTCCTCTGGAGCAATCCTCATCGCCTGAAGATATTTCATAAACCTCTTCCTCCTCTTCAACTTTGTTCATCTTTTCTGAAGATATCTCATTATCTTTTGTAGAGGTCTTTTTCTTTTTGTTTGATTTCTTAGAATTTCCTGAAGAATACACATTACACGCTATATTAATACGAACACATACAAACAGTGATTCCACCAACACTTGCAAAATCTCCCAAATATTTTACGAGAGCAAAGGCAAAGCTTTCAACTTACGGTTTCTTATTTCAGTTCCATTATTATCCACAATTTCATTGGAAGCCTTGTTATCATCAGCTGTCGAACATAAAGAAGAGTCGTATTACTGTAATGCTAAATGAAAATACTATACGAGAATTTGAAAATAGCTAAAGTTCCTTGTGTAGAGAGTACAGACCAACACCATTATTAAAAATTGGACTCAAAAGTACAACTACTATAGTCATGAACCACACACACATACCTTGTTTTACCAGATGATTATCCTCATCATCGACAGGACCGCTAGATATCTCATCGGCCTTCCTTTTATTCTTAGTCTTGTTCAACTTTCCCTTCTTACCTTTGATTTTCTCATTTGAGATAGCTGCAACAAGAACCAAAGTTACTTAAAACTCAATACGTGAATCTAACAACACAACAGGATAACTATATAGCATGAAGTCTCCCTCTGCCCTAAAGAAAGAGTTGCTCACCTTTCGGCTCGCTTATCTCCTCGGCAATATTTTTACTCTTCTGAATCTTCTTTCTATCAGGCTTCCCACTTGAAATAGCTGTCAGGAGATTACAAAAACAAAAGATAACTAAAATCAATACATCTTATTAACACAATCTATTACAATGCAATTTCTAAATCCATAAAGGGTATAACTTTAACCTTGTACTGTAGCTTGAGGATGTTCAACATTGCTCACTTTCTCTTTCGTCTTCCTCTGCACTTTCTCAACCACTTCAGCTGAAACAAAGATAAACCCTTTGTTAATTGAGTTCAAACCTGTTCTCAAATCAAACAAGCAACTCTAAGAATCAAGCAAAAGGTTATACAAATCGTAATGATAAGAGAAGAAGAAACAAATGCGAAAGATTTAGACTTTTACCATTGTGGACATTACTCTTCTTCAGCTTTCTGCCTTCCTTCATCTTTTCCCTTTTCAATATCTCCTTAGAGTCAGAAACTATGACGGCGACTATCGGCGTCGATGTTTTAGGAGAAGTTTAGAATTTGTCAGGTCGCGACGATGTAGATTAGGGTTTTTGATTTTTGTGAGGTTCCGGAGTGAAGGCGAGGGGACATCGTATTTATTGTAAACCGGAACGTTCCTGGTATGTACGATTCAATCGTTTTTCGGTTCGAAATTTAATTAAAGTGGGTTGGTTTACCAGCTTGGGTTTCTATTTTCTTACTAAAGAAACTTAAACATGATTTTGATAATTTCAAAAGTCATAGAAACTTAAACATGATTATAAGATACAAGCTCCTCAGAGGTTCAAAGTATTGTAGGCAGAACCAGTGATCATGTGCTATGAAAATAATCTATCCATTGAAGATGTCATACAAGCAAAATCGTTCGTCGACTTCAAGTGTTATGAAAAAATTACATCATTAAATTACTGTTTGTGAAACTTTTCATCATTCACATATGTTGAGTGAGATAGTTGATCATATTATCCCCTATATATTATTTGAGAATCATTTAAAAAGTTGTAACCTTAAATTTGTAAGAATTAAAAATAACCTCAATCATATGTGACATATCTCTTTGACTTCTATTTCAAATTTCAAGGATTTTATAGCATGTGATATAATGTATAGTCTAAAAATTATATTCTCTACAATATAATATTTCGTAAACTATAGTTGGTCGCATATATCAAATATTTATTGTTTCGCATGCTTTCCTTAAATAAAACCTATGGAATTACCTAATGTGATTAAAATATATATGACAATTAATGATTTTAAACAATAAAGATTTGATAACAATCTGTATACTTTTTCTCATTTTGTTTATTTATTTATTATTAAAATAAATTACACAATTACATTAATCATATAATAAAAATCTAGATTTTTTTTTTGTGTATGTTGTATTTCGAATTTTTCAAAATGAGAATAAATTACTAAAACTGTTAAAAGTCTCACATAAACTTTTAGGATCAAGGTTTTATTTTTTTTCTATTTTAAAATATAATTATTATAAGATCATATGAAGAAATAATTTTAGTTTATATATATATTTCATATTGTTTTAATTAAACTATAAATCGTATGAAAATACATACTTATATTTTGATATTTGTCTTCAACATATATTGAAAAGTTAATATTTTAATTTTGAAATATTTCATTGTTTTTTTTTAATTATTATAAATTATTGAAACTACTAAACATCTCACATTAAAAAAATCGTTGGTGTAAAGTTTTGTTACAGAAATATGCAAATAATCATAAAATCATATGAGTAGAAACCTCATTTAATAAATATCAATATTAAAAGTGTGCCATATTACTATGTTTATATCATTTAAATTTAATTATATATCATATACAATATATAAGATTGATTATTTTGATTTATCTACGCTAATTGCGAATAAACAAGAGTGATAGTTAAATTTATATGCATACGTCAATTCATTACATAATAGTGATTGATTTCTTCGTTATGTAATATATATATATATATATATATATATATATATATATATATATATTTATTTATTTATTATTTTATTATTTTATGATATGCAGAAAATTATAAAATAAATTATAAATATAAAATACTTATTGTGCTTAAAGTCCAGGTCTTAACCTAAGTATGTATCTTTTAATTATTTTAAATCTTAAGTATTTTCTAAATCCCAGGTAAAAACAAATAAACGAAATGAGAATAAACTTCAAAATCAATATTTATATCGAGTAATAAGCAAAATATAAAAAAATACAACAAGAGAAAAAATTGAAGATAAATAGGATTAACACGTAAACGTAAACTTCTCATAACCATAATTAATTTTTAAATTGTTAAATTATGATATAAAACTGAGTTAATTTTTAATTTGTTAATTCTTTATTTTTTTAAAAGTTCTTAAATCATTATTGTTATGTTAAATCATGACCATAATTAATTTTAAATTCTTTATTTGTATTTGAAAAAACTTAAAATATTGTTTTTGAAAATAATTTAAAATTTAACTTAATTTTTTATAAAGTTATTTAAAAATAATAATTTGTAAAAAATATAGTTTTTAATATTATTATACAAATAAATAAATTATATTAAATTAGTTTTGAATCTTTATATATTTTAAAGCAATTATTTTACCAACTGCTTCTTAAAAAACATTAGGAAATTTGCTAATACTCTACCAATCAAGTCCAATGACACTTTGTTTATTTTCCATCACCCATACACTAAAAAATGAAAAGATATATGAAATCGGGTCCATTAAATTCTAAGATTTGATCTACAGTTCTAAGTACAATTTTTTCTGATCCTACGTATAGATAATTATTTAAAAATTTCAAAATTCTAAAATTTCAAATACATATAAAAACAATTATATGTAAATTTTAAACTTATCAATACTAAAATTTTATATTTTAATTACGTATATTCACCCTGCGCAAGGCGCATGTCTTATCCTAGTGTAATAAATATAATAGATATGTTATTATGATATATTCCATATTTGACTAGTGTTTAACAAAAAGAAATTACAGCTAAAATAGCTTACATATCTAACTTGTATAACTTTGATGATTTCAAAATATAGATTTTGATTATAACTAAAATTTATTTTAGATCACTAGTTCAATATTTTTATTATTATTGATTTATCATCTAACAATATTAAAAGTACAATATACTCAATGGAGAGGATGCCACGTCACCAAAAATATTCATACCGGGCTTCAATTTGTTTTTCTCATTTGTAAGATTGATTTTGATTCTGGCCCATTTTGGCCCAATCTCTGAGACACCCCCATAACCCTAAAGCGTCGTCACCACTCCAGTCGATTTTTCTGTTTCTCCTTTTTTTTCCCATGGCGATTCGATTTCTGGACTTTCGATTTATCAACCGAAGTCGAATCATCGATACCACTCCTTCACTCCACCTCCCTGCCATGAATCCCTCTTTAATGGTTCCTTTCATCTTCCTATCTCTGCATCTATTTTTATTGCTTTCTCTCTTAGAGTTGTGTTCACTCTCACAATCCTCAATCACGATAAATTCGAACAGCCAAACAACCGACTCCGGCGATCTTAACTCCACGAAACTGATCAAACATGCAGCCAATTCCAGTGCCTCCACTGGGGAGTCGCTGAAACGTACATGCGCAGCCGTTGGCTCCTCCGCCGAAGAGATGAAAAAAAAGAGGCAAAACTGGTGCTTTCTAAGTCAATGCCCATCACTATATGAAAGATGAAAGAATGGTAAGATTCTATTGCTGACTTCATTACTATTGCCGATTGGTTCTGTTCCCTCAGAAACCTTTTTATACTGAAGAAACACCGTTTCAAATACTCTATGGTCATACTGGAGATGTCTTGGACTTGGCATGGTCAGACTCAGATGTGAATTTTAAGTCTTTTCTTTGTTTTTTTTGTGATCCATTGAATTGGGTATTGGTTTTTGCAGTTGCTTCTTTCACCTTCTAGAAACAAGACAGTTCGGCTATGGAGAGTTGGTTGTGATGAGTGTCTTCATATCTTCCATCATAACAACTACGGTAGCCTTTTGATTCAAATGTTGTCTTTATATTGGTTTTCTACAAAACCTTATCCTCTACTGATATTATTCCGGCCTTTACCTGATTTTTTCTTTCCGTTAACGTCATATTTGCTGTTGTAACTTTATGTTTATATAATGGTTCATGGCATGTTGATTTATTCTAACATACGTTACATAAATAATTCCATTTGTTCTATATAGCCCTGGGCGTTCGGGTACCCGTTGGCGTTCGGATCGGGATTTTCGGATTTTTGGGTTTTCGGGTTTACGCTCATAGGTCCCATTCTAATATTCCCGTTGGCGTTCGGATCGGGTTTTTCGGATTTTCGGATTTTCGGGTTTACGCTCATAGGTCCCATTCTAATATTTTACTAGTACGGGTCGGGTTCGAATAATAACACTTCGGGTTCGGTTCAAATTTGTATTGCAGCATAAAACCCGTAAAGTAACCATATATCGTTCGGATTCGAGTTATTTCGGTTCGGTTCGGATATACCCGAAGTATAAAACAAAATTTCGAAACAAAAACATAAAGAAAAACACTGAAACTGAATATAAATTAATCATACATACATAAAATTGATAAAAAAATGCTAAATCAATCATTAAAACATACATCACTTGTAAACAATGTGCATTACCTTACATATAAACTAAATTTATTATTTTAATGAACAAATTACAAAGTACTTATTTATAACTAATTATATATTTAAGGTATTTATTTATATTTTAATATTTATTGTATGTATCATATCAAAATAAACATTAAACTGAATATCTAATATATATATATATATATATTTAAAATATTTATATTAACTATTAATTTCGGATATTTCGGGTTATCCGTTCGGGTTCGGTTAAATAACACTTCGGGTTCAGATTTTTTTATACCATCTTATAAGACCCGTTCGGGTAATTTTACATTTCGGGTCGGATAACGGGTCGAGTTTTTCGGTTCGGGTTCGGTTCGGATTTCGGGTTTCGGATTTTATGCCCAGGCCTAGTTCTATATGACCAGCTGTTATGTAACATATGTCATTGCATGCATAACGTGTCGTTTTATATAATACATCTTGAAGAAAATTAGTTGGATGTCCCTTTTATTTACAGTTGTTTGTATGTACGTTATCTATCCATGGCAAGACGTGGTATGTCTCCATAACAAGCAATGAAAATATGTAATGACATATTCTTATATTATTTGAGTCTTAGGGTGAGCTAGCATTGGGTTTATTCCGACTTTAATTTTAACTTATTTCCAGGTTTTGCTAAGCATTGAGATGAAAGGTTTTTTTTATTTGAAAAAAATACGATTTTAGAGAGTACATATGAATGAGGCAGTAACAAAAAAAAAGAGTACATATCAGGACTTGATTAGGAGAAATGATATTTGCACGTACAAGCGTTTCATATGTGAAAGTTCATAATATAAAAAATCTAACATGTAAATAAAATCCAGCCGGCATTGACGATATTCTCTTCACCTAATTGGTTTTTGCAGTTGCTTCTTTC